AGGGTTGTGAGCAACAGATCCTCCAGGTGACCCTGCTTGGTCTCCCTCAGGGCCACACAGAAGGCATCAAAAGCCTGGGGACCCCTCTTGGGCAGCAAGTTGAGAAGTTCCACATTTTGGCTGAAACTGCCCACTTTGGCCTAAGATAAAAGAATACAACATGAAATCATATTTACTTATTCAGCTCTAATTCTATTTCACCAGATGACCTTCCTAGTAATCTCAAGAATCCTTTTACAGGAAAAATATATGTATGGGGGAAGTCTTTCCTATTATTCTTAAATTATATATCTTTTCTGTTAAGGGCTTTAGGGTAGAAGGGCATTTTCATTTCCTTAGTAAGGTTCTACATCCTTGCCACACTTCATCATGCTCTGTTCCTACCCCTACGACCAAAGTACTGACTTGGCGTTTCTCTTTTGCTTCCCAATACCTGAATGTGCTCTCTCATTTCCAAGGTGATGATGTCCTTCTCCAGGAGGTGCTCTAACAGTTCACTCAGCAACAGTTGTTTGGCTAGCACCACTCGGTTCTTTTTCAGTGCTTCCTGATGGTCAGGATGCATGCCACACACTCCCAATATCCTACAGAAAAAAGGCAGAGGGAAAAGCTGTCAAGTACAAGATTTGGCACAGAAGAGTGGAGTGGAAGAGGTGTGGATAGGAAGAACAAAAAGAATGGGACTTACAATAACCAATATTAAGCTAGCTGGTTAAAATCAAAGTAGTATTAAGCAGTAACACACTAATCATAAGGAAATAATGTATAATTTTTTATAGAGTATGTTCCACTGAGACCATCTTCGGAGATGAATAGCCTGTCTAGGGGAAGGAAATACCTACCTTGACAAAAATAATAGACACAAAAGAAGGAATACTCCTCTGTCTGACAGACCAATTTCAATTAAGAGATATTCCAGAAAACCTTTCACATTATTTATCTAGGCTGCTAAAAATAATATGAGTTAAGATGATCCTGAGTGAGGAAGAAAATAATTTGATACAATGGCAAAAGCTCAACCGAATGGCTGGCTTTAATAGGAAATAATTGAGACAGGCCGACACACACACATTACTCTCTAGCCCACTTCTATCAATTATACCTGTGGTCTTTGAAACTTTAGTTCCTGTGACAAAATGACACTAGAAATAATCAGAATCCTGTAGGAATTAAGAATTGAGTAAGTAGCAAGTATGACAGAAAGAGTAGATAAATGACAAACACAGTCAACATAACTTGAGATCACCTGAAAGAGTTAAAGCATAAAGGCTAAATTGTTTTGGTAATTTATTAGGGATGTCTTTATTTCAAGGATTTTTTGGTTTTGTTATTGGTTTGCAAAGAGATCAGCTTCTGTTTATGAATTTTAAAAATCCCATTTCCAGCAAATATCATCTCTGTCCCTAGTTTATATAAATGCAGAGCTCCCCAGCTTGCTTAGTCAGTTTCCAAAAACATGACAACAATAAGGGCCTGATGGCAGTGAGAAAGGGATGAGGTAACAGCTTCAGTTTATAACTTAAAAACTATTGGGGCTCCTGGATGGCTCAGTCATTAAGCGTCTGCCTTCAGCTCATGTCATGATCCCGGGGTCCTGGGATTGAGCCCACATCGGGCTCCCCACTCAGCGGGAAGCCTGCTTCTCCCTCTCCCACTCCCCCTGCTTGTGCTCCCTCTCTCACTGTGTCTCTCTGCCAAATAAATAAAATCTTAAAAAAAAAAAAAAAGATTTAAAAATACATACTGATTTCAAAGATGTTAAAATATCTGTGTGTGTTGGTGGGGAATGGGCATCTTAATACCATGCATTTATAGGATGTACTTGGCTTAACTCTAGGTTAGAGGTTTATAGAGGAGGGAAAGGCAGAGTCCTGAAATTGCTGAGAGAGACCCAAGAAGATGGCATGTGGGATCCTGAGGCAAAGAAAGCTGTAAAACATTCCCAAGGCTTGAAGAAGCCAACTAGGGTTAAATTTGGGATTTGGGACAGTGATGTTTGAAACTCCATTTTAACTTCAGGTTTCTGTTCTCTAGAAATACTCCAGTTGGGGCGCCTGGGTGGCTCAGTCGTTAAGCGTCTGCCTTCCGCTCAGGTCATGATCCCAGAGTCCTGGGATCGAGCCCCGCATCGGGCTCCCTGCTCGGCGGGAAGCCTGCTTCTCCCTCTCCCACTTCCCCTGCTTGTGTTCCCTCTCTCGCTGTGTCCCTCTCTGCCAAATAAATACAAATCTTAAAAAAAAAAAAAAAGAAATACTCCTGTGACCCCAAACTTTCAGTGGAAACCTGCTACAATACAACTAGAGAAATAAAAAAACCCATTTAAGAATCACCTTAGAAAACACCAAAGCAGTAACAATGATGGCATATATGAAACTGGTAAAAATGTTATTAGACCAACTGCAAGACATCACAGCTGAATGCTGGATACATATCACTGGTGGGGCAGGTTTACTCAAGTTTCTTCTCTTAACTCACCAGTAGCGTTTTCTCCTTAAAACTTTCTCCTCCCTTGGTTTCCCTACTATTCTCTCCAGTTCCTCTCTCCACCTACAATGTTCCTGTTCCTTTACAAGATCTTTAACCTGCCCTTAAACGATGACATTCCATTAGGCAGCCCCCTCAAAGAGCCTCTCCCTATTCAATCTCATCCATACACATGATTCACTAATTCACTCCTGGTTCTTGACTCTTTCAAGTTCTAGACTTAAATTTTCAGTCAGTAACTCATTAGGTTTCATCTGAAGCATTATCCATTCTCCACACCTGCTCCTTCCTGTATTCCACTTTAGGGTGAAAATCTCAAGTATGAACTTTTCCCAAAGTAACCATGATCACCTAGAACTTCAGGACCAGCTGGAAGGGGAGGAAGGACAGGAGAAAAGGACACGAAGGGAATTCTTAAGTCTTGATTCTGTCTTTCTGCAGGTTCTGGCTCCTAAGTCCTAAATTGACCTTCTGGATCCAGACCACGAGGCATTAAAATGTTACCCAGGGTGATGCTTGCCATGAAATCATATAACTGGGGCAGAGGCGGGGACACACTCGGAGTCTCGGAACCACCTTGTCCTTTCAAAGTACTCAAACCCCAAAGCCTGTGTCGACTGCTTTGAAAACCTGATCATTACACCCAAAGCAATACGTGTCATGATACAGCCAATCCAAGTCAAAGGCCCATCAGGCAGTATCTCGGGGTTTGCAAGTCTCGTCCGTTTTATTAAGGGGACAGAGTAAAGTTCCTCATAAAAGAATAAGGGGAAAGAAAGGATGCAGAATCTTTAAGAGAGGCCGGGATCTGGCAGGACCGAGAGCTCCTTCTGTTCAGAGCCCCCTTGGGTTGCACAAAGCAGGCTGGGGCGGTCGGCTCACGAGGAACAAGGCCGACAGGAGGCCGCCGCTCGCGCGCCCCTCGGGGACTCACCCCGGCCTCCCACCCTTGGCAGCAAGGGCGGTCACGGCTGCTTCCAGGGACTCCGAGGGCTGGGGACGCCAGGGCCATGACCCGCGCTCCCCTCCCTGGGCCTCACGAAGAACCTCTGCGACCCCCCCTCACTCACCTGCGCCCTCGGTCAGCGGCCATTAGCGCCTTTCGCTGCAGGGCAGGCCGAGAGTCCGCGCTCGGCGCCGCCATTTACCGCTTTTCCCGGGCTGTGCGCGCACCGCCCACAATCCAAACAAACCGAAAGCCCTCCCGCCCTCTGCATCCCTACCCCCTCAGCCAGCGCACGACGCGCCTGCGCGCTACTCCTCCTAGCGCCACCCCTACGCGAGGCCTGCCCCCCGCCCCTGCCGTCGCCGGTGCGCGCGCAGGCACAGAGCCCTCGCGCTGGATGTGCCGTCCAATGGGGTGAGAGAGCGCGCCTGGCGGAAAGGGAAGGGGCGGGGGGAAGCGTGGAGCCGCTCCGTCCTACGCGGGAATCCGATTGGTCGTCGGTTCCCGCGGAAATCACGGCTCGCTCTCCGGCGCCTCCCACCCTGCCTCGCTCGCCTATTGGAAGCACTCTACGGAGACCGGTTTGGCCGGACTTTTGACTTTATTGAACTGCTGGGGCCAGGGTAAGGGGGAGATGGGAGAGCACCGGAAGGCGTTAGACAGATACCGCACAGTGGATGAATGCCTAAGTGGGGAGCACACCCCTGAGGAGGGCGGGTCGTCGATGGTTGGGCCGCTCCCAGTGGCTAAAACCTGCATCGCAGCCACAGCACGATTCCAGAAAATCTGGTGTTCTGGTGGGATCCGAGGAAGCTGGACCGGGGGGCTGGGGTAAAACCCTGTGGTCAGAGCGCAGGGGTGAGGCTTAACGGTTAGACACCGTGCGGGTGGCTCCAGCGCTTCATAGGTGATTCAAGAGGGAGCCTTAGATACTCCGCCACCCCTCGCCAAGCTCCAGTTTCATCCTTTCTGGCCCTCATCCACCCATCTCAACATCGGAAGCCGCTCCCCCTGGGGCAGTTTACTCCGTTGCTTCCCGCTAGGAAGCACTAGAGACTGCTCTTCAGCCCCTGGGCAGAAACTGCTCCCTACCTGGAGCACGGGCTGTCGCAGCTTTGATTAGTTTTGCTCATCCAGGAGGCTGGGCACACTCTTGGTCACCCTCAGCCCACACTGTCTGCAGACACAGCTATTCCACCATTCTGCCTATAGGAAGTCTCCCACCTCTGTCCAGCAGTTGTCCAAGATAGAGATTGAGAGATTTTGTGGATGACCTTGTAATTGAAAATACAATGGGACTTGGGATCAGAAGAGTACAGTTAAAATCATTTTTATGCTGTTTACTAGGAGTGTGCCCCTGTGCAAATTCTCAAACTTCACTGTCCCTTGGAATCCTCATTTTTCAAATGAGGGTAGTAACATCTCACATGGCTGGGAAGCCTAATTGAGCTGGTAGACAGAAACACCCAGAACAGAAACAACATAGCTGTCACTCAGATGTTTCTTTTCTTCCTTCTCCAGATTCTCTGGATCACTCCTCTTACCCTCCATCTAACTCTGGAAATACCGGATATGGGGTAGGTCACTGAATGTTACCTGAAGACTCAAATTGTGCCACATACATCTCAGCTGGAAAAGGCTTACCATAGCCTGACTCCCCTCTGTGTTCAGTTCCCCATGCAGAAACACAGTTCCTGACACAGCAGGCACTGGGAAATGTTGGTCAAATGCATGAATGGGTCTGGTGCAGAGATGATGTATCGTGGGAAAGTCTTTTACGGGGGCGTCCAGTTGTTTTCAAAGAAAACATCATCATCAGGTTGACCAAAGCTGACATCATAGGCAGGGGGTGGAGTAAGAGGCTCCAATTTGGGGGGCACCCTCAAGCTCTGCAGATCAGGAGCAGTAGACATGACCCGGGATCCCCGAAGCCGAAGGCTGACTGGATCTCTTCCGGAGTTTTGTGGGGTCATAGACCCCTCTGAGCCCACTACTCGCCTTTCTATTCGGGCTCTACCGGGGCCGTCTGGATTGCTAGGCTGTCCTTCCTCAAGTTCTGGGGGGATTACAACACTGCTGTAGGGGGGTGGCTGATCCAACAACTGGGGGCGGCATTGTGATTCCAACACCACAGCCTCTTCGTAGGTTGGCACCTCAAAGGCTTCATTGTCACTGAGGGAGAAGAAATAAAGTCACTGGTGGCCTCCTGAAAGGAGTCCTTTTTCCCTTTACTGTCATCTATTGGCAAAAGACCCACCCACACCTGACCCCACCCACCACCTCAAAGATACCAGTAACAGGAAAGCAGAGCTGTATGTCTGAGAGACTAGAGGGACACAGGGCAAAAGGTCCATCGTATATTCCTAGAATTCTGTCCACCCCTTGACTCACCGTGCATTGCCTGAGGCCCCTGGGCTCTCCGTCTGCATTGATCGCAACCCCCATTCCAGAACACAGGCCAGGAGGCAGACAAACAAAAAGAAGCCACCCAAGGCGAGAAAGAAATAAGCAACAGGGGCGATGTCCGGCGGTATGCTCAGTAAAGCCAGCCCCAGGAGGAAGGAGGTGCAGCACAGGAAGAGAAGCGGCTTCTCCAGTCTCCCCCACAACTGGGTTGGCACCATGGCCCCTCCCCAGGCTCCTGCAAAAAGACACACAGGTGTGTCTAAACCAGCAGTTGGCGTCCCGTCTGGGTCAGATTCCAAAGTAGCCATATTAGACACCTTTAGGTTTTAGGTTCTTCAATCTCAAATCAAATGGCTCAAATATATGATCTTCAGGGTTCCATTCAGCTTTGTAATTTTCTCTATGATCACAGTGCTGTCCCAGGATATCAGTATGTGTGGAGTAGCCAGGAAATAAAAGTCCGGGAGCCTTCATGCGACTTACTGTGTCATGGCCCTGCCTTCCTTCCTTCTTTCTTCTCTGCAGTCTCCCTTCCAGCTCTATCTTTCTACACCATCCAAGACTTAGTCTTGGCTGGCCCTGCCTGGGGCCTCCGCGCTCACCAGCATCTGTGGAATCCAGGTGATGAGGCAGGCCCTGGCTTTTCTCTATAATTGCTCTGCATTGGACCTCCACCCTACCTGCCCCCGTCTCCCCAGTTAGACCCTGTTGGGGAGGGAAGCTGGGGAGGAACACCACTTACCCTGTCTGACCCCATCTTTCCATTTCCTCCACTCAGCCCATGTTCTGGTTGGGGGAAGAAAGTGCACATGGATGCAACAAAGGGACGCAACTATGTGAGAATCTTACAAGGCCTAGGGCAATGGACAGAGGCCCAGATAACTCCTGATCTCTCCCTATCTGCCAGGGTATCCCATCCTTTACCGGCCTTAACTCAGTAAGCTCAGATTTCAAGTTTCCTGTCTGTAGTTACGGCAAGGGCTAGGAAGCTGGTGGGGGGAAGCCTTCTTTTCCCTCTCCAACACAGCTGCCACGCCTAGGCAGCAGCACCCCAAAACCAACCCATTAGGAGTTCCCTGAACTCTGCATAGCAAGAAGCCATAGACCCTAGGTAGGGGCCAGACCCCCTGCTTGAACCCTAACCCCAATCCCATGGCCCTCCTACCCTTCTCACCGGTGTTAGGAATTCCTCTCTCACCTGTCTGGACCGACTCCGCAGAAAGTAGGTTGTAGGGGAGCGGGAGGGGGGCGGGTGGAGCCCAGTGGCTCCACCCACTTTTCTGTTCCAATCCCTCCGTTCCTGCGCAGGCTTCCTCCTCCCCTTTCTGCTTACGGAGTGGTGCTATTGCCGCACCTTGATTTGTTTGGTTTTTACACCACACACCCCCTACGGTGCCTTAATGAGAGTGCTCCTGCGTCCCCGCCCCACCCCAATGATCTTTGTACTTAGGACCAGAGTTATATTCAGTTTCCTCTTCTCTTCTCAATGCGCACTGTTTCCCGAGTAGTTTGTCTTCTGTTTAGGTAATATATTTTATGCTTGGAGCAGAGGCCACGGTTTATTTAATCTCTAGATCACATGGTGCTTTGCATGATTTGCTGTGGCATGGAATGGCGGGTCGTGCTTCAGCTGCCAAAGTACCATTTCTTTGAACTTGTTTTCTGCAGACCTGTAAGACGTTTTTGTGTATGGTTCATGGCCCAGTTAACTCTGATTCTTCAAAAGTCACGTCCAAGGTGATGCCTACTATGGAGTCTGTCTCCACAGGGTATCCACAGCATTTCTTCATACCCCTGTTCAAGCCTTTAGGTGTTTCTATAGTAATTTTCTGTTTATATACCTTTCTTCCACTGTGAGCTTTTCAAAGTGAGTGATAAGTTTCAATATATTCTGAATCCCTTCAATTGACATGGTTCCTGACACAAGTAGATGCTCACTAAACATAGCTGAATGCTCTCATTAGAAGGCTACCATCTTGCCTGACCTCACCACACACTGCAGATCCAGGACCCGCTCTTATTTTTCTTTTTTTTTTTAAGTTTTTATTTATTTATTTGAGAGAGAGAGCATGAGCAGGGGGGAGGGGCAGGAAAAGCAGGCTCCCTACTGAGCAGGGAGCCCCATTGGGGCTTGATCCCAGAACCCTGGGATCATGACCTGAGCCAAAGGCAGACACTTGACTGAGCCACCCAGGGGCCCCTGTGACCATTCTTTTTTTTTTTTTTTTTTTTTTTTAAGATTTTATTTATTTATTTGACAGCACAAGCAGGGGGAGCAGCAGGCTTAGGGAGAGGGAGAAGCAGATTCCCCACTGAGCAAATAGCCTGATGTGGGGTTCGATCCCAAGACCCTGGATCATGACCTGAGCCGAGGGCAGATGCTTAACCAACCGAGCCACCCAGGTGCCCCTATGACCACTCTTTTAAGGGGAATCCTGGTAATAAGTCTAGGTGACACAGGTGTTGGGAGGTGTAGAGGATGGAGGCATACTTTATTCTTGAGACACAGAGAAGGCTACAAGGTTGGGTTCCAGGCCTTCAGAGTGTTACCATTGAACAAACCAAGGGGAGTAGGAGAAAATGGGGCACAAATCTAATCCCAAGGACAGTTGTGGGGCACAGCCAGGGCTGCTGCATCAGAGGATGTGTGGAGTGTGTGTGTATGTGTGAGAGAGACAGAGTGGGAGAGGAGAGAGGAAGGGAGGGAGGGAGAGAAGGATGAGGGTGCCTGGAGTGGAATGCAGGTGTGTATAGTGGTGGAATGTCAATGATGATTCTCTGACCAGATAGAGGAGAGGGAGGAGATGTAACAGGAAGGCTATGGTAGTCCAAATGAGCTGTGTCTCTATACGAAGTGGGAATGAAGAGTAGGGGGAGAGCTGGTTATTGTTTTGTTTACATGAATTTCCATACTGTTCATCGCATATAAGGAAAGTATGACTGGGATCAGAAGGATTCGCATCTGGGGCGCCTGGCTGGTTCAGCTGATAGAGCAGGCAACTCTTGATCTCAGGGTCCTGGGATCGAGCCCCACGTCGGGCTCCCTGCTCGGCTGACGCTTAACAACTGAGCCACTCAGGCACCTCTGGAGAATGAGATCTTTGTAGCATAAGGCTCTTGGTTGCCAGAAGGAGCGTACACTAGAGAGACTTGCTAGTTAAGAACCAGTTCCAAGTCAGGAAGGTTGGACTGCTGGCTGGCTGTGCCTTTAATATATTCTCTATCACAATAATTTTAAATAGATTTTCTAAAAATTCCATTTTTATACTGTTACTCTTTATTTGAGGCGGGGGCAGAGGGAGAGAGAATCTTTAAGCAGACTCCCCACTAAGCATGGAGCCCGATGCAGGTGCTTAATCCTAAGACTCTGAGATCATGACCTGACCTGAAATCAAGAGTTGGCTGCTTAACCCACTGAGCCACCCAGGTGCCCGTAAAAATTCCACTAAAATCTTGCAAAATATTTAAGGGTCATAAAGAAAAAAAAATCATCCACAATCTCCTTATCCTAACATGGCCATTTAAAATTTCTACACATTTCTTCTAGTCTGTTCACACACTGGTTGAAATCAGAGTACTCACCATTTTGTATTTTTTAAAAAACTTAAACATTGTATCATATATAATTGATCTTTTGATACAGTCTTTGTTGTGGTAATTTTTTTTTTTTTTAAAGATTTTTATTTATTTGACAGAGAGAGATACAGCGAGAGAGGGAACACAAGCAGGGGGAGTGGGAGAGGGAGAAGCAGGCCTCCCGCAGAGCAAGGAGCCCAATGCGGGGCTCGATCCCAGGACTCTGAGATCATGACCTGAGCCGAAGGCAGACGCTTAACGACTGAGCCACCCAGGCGCCCCTGTTGTGGTAATTTTTAACAGCCACATAATGTTTTATTGAATGGATGTACCATAATTTAACATACCTTTATGTTATGTTACTTGGTAGCATTGAGTTTATTTTATTCAATTTTTTTTTTTTTTGTCATCAAATGTTTCAAGAGACAGAAAGTAGATTAGTGGTTGCCAGGGGCTGGAGAGAGGGAAGAAATGGGGAGTAACTGCTAATGGATTTCTTTTAGGGGTAATGAAAACGTTTAAAAATTAGTAGTGATGCGGGGCATCTGGGTAGTTCAATCAGTGAAGCATCCGATTCTTGTTTCAGCTCAGGTCATGATCTTGGGGTTATGGCATGGAGCCCCTTGTGGGGCTCTTTGTGTAGCCTGCTTGGGATTCTCTTTCTCCCTCTCTCTACCCACCCCCAAAATAAATAAATCTTAAAAAAAAAATAGTAGTGATGCTTGCACAACTCTGAATATGCTATAAAAGACCCACTGAATTTTACACTTTATAAGGGTGAATTATGCTTCCATAAAGCCTTTTAAAAAATGATGCTACAATGAACCTCTTATGTGTAGTTTTACCTTCTTTTTGGATTATTTCCTCCCATTAAATTTCAAGAAATGTCATTGAGACAAGCAATGTGAAAGAAAGATTTTGTTGCCTTGAATACATATGGCCAAACTTCTTCCCCAAGGTTTTACTTTCCTTTTTTCATCAACTTAGTATCCTTAGCAAAATATAGATGCTAAAGATACTATTGGTCATTCTGCTTCCAACTTGCCTGCCTCTACAAACCACCATGTTAGGGGTCGGATTACTGCCCTAGGCGGGCCCACTGTGCCCACCTCATTTTGGGAGGGGATAGTGAAGGGAGGGACATGGGAGGTTGGGGGGGGGGCGGGAAAGCAGAGATAATCAACAGACTTTCTGTGAAGGGTAGTTGATGTCTACCACCGTGCACTTCTCTACACCTCCATATTCTTGTGATTTTGTGTTTCTGAATCTGAGTCTGCTTTATACTTGTAGCCAACATGTATGGAGTGTTTTGTGTACTGCTCACTGTGCTAAATGCTTTATACAAATTAAGTAATTTAAAATATAATGTAATAAGAGGTAGTTGCTATTATTATGTTCATTTTATAGGTGAGATCAGAAACTTGAGGAAAATGTATAGCTAATCAAGGGTGGGGCCGAGATTTGAACCTGTAGTCCCAGTCAAGAAACCTGGCTCCTAACACTGTGTCATCTGACTCTAAACACTCTTTTTGGCTGATTTAATAATGATAATTTAATAAAACACCTATGACATTCTAAAATCATAACTCTGGGGTCTCTCCTGGAGGAGTGGTTAGATGTTATTTCCCCACTGTTTGGCGTCTTAAAAGGCTGACCATC